CCGTCGTCATCTAGTCCGACTCCGTCGTCGAGCGGCCCGACGCCAGTGCCGTCTTCCGATTCACCGGCGCCGAGTGTGTCCCCCGTGCCAACGTCAGCGTCGCCGTCACCTAGTGTCGTGCCGTCGCCGCAAACCTCGTCTGCGATTCCGACCGAGATCCCTCTTGTCGTGACGGTGGCTCCAGTGACGAACTCGCCGATCATTGATGCGCTCATTTCGCAAACAGACGCGCCAAAGGCGACGACGCAGCACGTCGTCGACAGTCTCTTGGGGCTCGACACACCGGCGCCGACGACCGTGACGGCTGTAGTGACGGCGAGTCCCGACGATATCTCCAAGCTAGACCAACTCCAGAACCTTGGCAAGACGCCGGCGCCGTCGTCTGGCAGCGGGTCGGGCACGGCCCAAGCCGCCGACAACACGCATAGCGACACCAAGAACCGCGCCAAGGGTGACCTCTCGGGGTCGCAGACAGCGGCTATGAAGGCTGCCGTGACGACGGGCACCGAATCGACGACCGAACAGACGATTCGATACATCATCTCGTCCATCATCGGGCTCACCATCGTGCTCATGTCGTTCTTCCAGTTCCAAGCGACCAACCCGTCGTTCGTGCCGCCGGACGCATCGCCCGCGCTCGCGCCCAACTCGTGGGAGCTGCCCGTCTTCATCGGCTTTGTGCAGCTGATCTCGGCGCTCTCGCTTGCGAAATACGCCAAGGTGCCTCAGACGTTCTACATGAACTTTCTCGACTCGCTCTCGTGGCTCAACTTTCTCATCCGCGGGTCCGCGCCGGCCAAGGCGCCGAGCGCCGTCGCTAGCGTCCAGCTCACGCGCCGCGAACTCGCCACCTCGCTCTCGTCGTCGTACGACGCGACGGGCTTTATCCAGTTCTCGCTGCGCTCCAACGTCTCGGAGCACGACTGGTTTGTGCGGCTGTGGACGGCCTTGATCATCGTCGTGGCCGTGCTCCTCGTCGCCGTCGTGGTGACCGGCCTGTTTGGACGCTGGGCGGCGTCGCGCAGCAGCCCGTTCAACACCAACTCGAGCGACTCGCACCGCAAGTCGGCGAGCCTCCGGTCGGTGTCGTACCGCCTCCTTGGCATGGTCGTGCTCGTCGTCTACTTCGCCGCGCTTCCGATCAGCATGATTTGCATGTTTGAGATCCTCGAAGACGCGACAACGACGGGGTTCCCACACACGATGAGTGTGCTCGCGATCGCGACGCTCCTCGCGCTCTACGTCGGCGTCGGCGTCGGTGCGTACAAGCTCATCGATGCGACCGAGGCCGGTCTCTCTCGCTGGGCAACGCGCGCCGTCTTTGGCGTCGTCTACGCCAACTACACGTACCAGGCGCGGCTCTTCCTCTGCGCGACGGCGCTCGCCAACTCGGTCACGGGCATTCTGATTGCCGCGATCACCGCCAACTCGCTCACGCAGCTGCTCGCGCTCATCGTTGTGCGCATGGTGTACCTCCTCGCGATGGTGGTCGTCCGGCCCTTCACGTCGGCGCTCCAGTTTGGCTTTGCCGTCGCGATGGAGGTCTTGCTCCTCGTCATCTTGGGTCTCTCGGCGGGCATGACGGGCGACATCACGGTCGACGCGCAGATCCACCTCTCGTACGCGGTCATCATCCTTGTCTGCGCGTTCTGCATCGTCATGTTTGTGCGCCAGCTCGTCATGCTGTGGCATTTCTCGAGCGCGTGGGCCAAGGACGAGGGCACGCACTCGTCGCGCGTGCCGACGCTGCACGACCACGACGTCGAGAGCAGCATGCACTACACCGTCTCGCTCCCGCGCTCCAACAACTCGAACATCCTCGCCACGAGCCCGATGAACACGATCCGTATCGCCGACTCGGGCGGCCGGTTGTAGGTGCCCAACGTGTCGGCTAAGGCGACGACATATACATTTCAATGTGCTCGACTTGTGTGTGTTGAGAAAACTACGCTACTAGTACAGTGCATGCAGCCCAAGGGTATAAATAAGAGCGCCAATCTTGCAAAACGCAACCTCTCCCCACCAAACTCGGCCAACGCAGGCGACGTCATATACATTTCAATGTGCTCGACTTGTGTGTGTTGAGAAAACTACGCTACAGTGCATGCAGCCCTTCGGCACGTCCGACGGGGCATTGCAGCTGGTCTTATCGAGGCCAGTGGTGCAGCGCTGTCATGTCGAGTAGTAGCGTTAGCACGAATGCCCATCCTCCTACGCATCCTGGCTACAAAGCGTAGCCGCAGTGAGTACCGCCGTCCGCTCCTCTGCAGATGGCGTGGTCCGACCATGACGCCGCTGGCTACTTGCCATGGCAGCTCTGCCCGCGCACCGTTCGTACGGCGCAGCGAGACGCAGGATGCCCTCGATCTATGTATGCTGCATCATGATGCTGCATCGGTCCTCGCTCGGGACATGGCAGCGACCTGGCTCGGCGGCACCCATGCTGGACTCTGGCGCGACAGCGTTGACGCACATCTCGTCCCGCACCCATCGCGCCTGCCTGCGGCCACGCGCCGACGTCGACGATCGATCACTAGCACTGCGGCTGCTACGCAGTTGCCGGCGCTTCTTCGCCAAGGGTAGCTTGTTCTTGGCCGACGCTGAACGTGGCCTTTCTCGCGGAGATTTGTCCGGTTAAAAGCGAAGCAACGAAGTTCGAACTTCGATGCCAAAGGCCAAGCAGCATGTTCCGGCACGATCTGATCGCGAAGGGATTTTCGAACGTGCCAGAGGCAGGTAGAAGAGGTGTGGGCATGGCTCATGCTGCTGCTGCTGGTAGGCGAATACCATGTACATGCGCTGGGAAGACACGCGCATTGGCGGCACGACGCCTACGATCAAGAACCACACGGGTACGACGACGACGAACGATGCGACTTGCGCTCCAATTTGCTTCTTGTAGCAACGCTGGTCGGCTCGCGCATCTTTGTCTTTGGCGGCTACGATGGCCGGCGCAACCACAACAGTCTGCACGTCTTCGACTGCGACAAGATGGAGTGGGAGCGCAACCCGTACGAGCAGCGCGACCGGTCGAGCTTTAGCTTGGCCTCACCGCCACGCTTGATGCCACGCGACGTGCGGCCATCCACCACCAATGACAGTGGCAACGACGACTACCTCCTACTCACATCATCACGAAGCCGCAGCCAGAGCGGCCAGTCGCAGCGACCGTACGTGCCCGCGGGCGCAACGGCCACACAGCGACGCTCGCCGACGGCTGCGTCTATGTCATTGGCGGCTGGCTCGGGTCCGGTCCGCTCGCCGCCAACGACGTGCACATTCTACACGTCGACAGTATGCGCTGGGAAGAGCCTGTCACGAAAGGCGCGCCGCCAGGACCTTGCAACATGCACACAGCCGACTACCTTGCGCACGCTCGTGGCATCCTCGTCTTCCGCGGCGGCAACGGCCGCGAGTACCTCAACGATCTGCACTTTCTGGACATTGACACGCTCACGTGGTCCAAGCCGAGTGTGCGCGGCGTCGCGCCCGAGCCGCGCGCCAACCACAGCTCGGCGCTCGTGGGCACGAAGCTCTACATCTTTGGCGGCTGGAACGGGCGCAAGCGGCTCAACGACCTCTACGTGCTCGAGACGGGGTCGCCCGAGTGGACGTGGAGCAGTGTGCGTGTGCATGGTGACCTCGTGCCGCACCCGCGCGCCGGCATGACGTTTACGGTCGTCCGCGACAAGATCTTTCTCTTTGGCGGGTCGGGGCCGTCGGCGGCGCCGGCCAAGTGCTTCAACGACCTCTTCATCTTTGATCCTCGTACCGCTTCATCGAAGTGACTGCACGCCTCTCACGCTTTCGTAGAGCTCGCGAAATGGACCGACACGCTCGTCGAGCTCGACAAGACGACGGTCGTGGATTGCGCGGCGCTGGACGACGCCAACCCGAACGACACTCCCTCCGAGTCCGCTTGTATCTCTCATCGTTGTCGGTGTATTGATGCTCCGCATGCAGGCCGCAGGTGGTCGTGATTGGCGACGGACCGAGTCGCCGCGCCGGCCACACGTGCGTGGTCTACCAGCGCAAGATGTTTGTCTTTAGCGGCAGCTACGGCAGCGAGTACCTCCACGACATGCACGTGCTCGACACGGACCCGGCGCCGTGCGCCCGCGTCTCGCTTTCGAGTAACTTGCAGTCGTCGCTCGGCCGGTTTTGCAATTCGCCCGAGTTTTCCGACATTGCCTTTGTACATTTTTTTGTTTGTTCGTTTGATTGCGGCGGCTGCTTATAAAGGCGCTAGATTGTCGAGGGCAGCCGCGTCTTTGGGCACAAGATTGTGCTCTCGCTCGGCAGCGATCGGTTCCGCGCGCTCTTCTCGGCCGGCTTTCGTGAAGCGTCGGCGACCGAGATTGTCTTGCCCGACATGCGCCTCGACGTCTTTGAGGCCATGCTTTCGTACTTGTACCGCGGCAGCCTCGAGGCGCACGCGCTCGACTCGATGGACGACGCGATCGAGCTGCTCATGGCCGCCGACGAGTATATGCTCGACCACCTCAAGCAGCTCTGCGAGACGGCGCTCCAAGCCATGGTGACGCTCGACAGCGTGCATGAGATCCTGCATGCGGCGGACCGCGCGAACGCCGCCAGCTGCGCGTCGTTTGCAAGCATTTCCTGCGCAACGCCGCACCTTCGTTTTAGTTATTCGTCGAATTGAATTATGTCTCTTGTCTTGACGCTCACGGCGCGCGGCCGCACACGCTGCACTTGAGCGCGTCGATCGGGTTGCTCTTGGTGCAGAGACGACACTTCCACGCATCCGAGAGACCCGCCATCGTCGCCGTCACGGGTGCGGGAACAAGCTCCTGCGCGGGAACAAGCTCCTGCGCGGGGAAGAGCTCGTGCGCAGGAAAGAGCTCGGGGGCTGGGAAGAGCTCGTGCGCGGGGAAGAGCGTCGCGGCGGCGGACGATGCTGGCGTGCTCAGTGGCGCCGACCCCGTCGGCGCCAACGGTGCAGTAAACAACGGCTCGGACTTGGGCGCCGGTGCCATGCATGGAATCGCCGGCTGCGACGTACTAGTATACGAAATGACGGGCTCGGACCGCGGCGGCGTCGACGACCGTAGTTGCGCTTCGAGGGTGCGGATACGGGCTTGCGCGGCGTCGTACGCGGCCGCGAGATCGTCGCTGGCGGTCGCCGCAATGTCGACGTGGTGCGTCGCATGGAGCGGCGGTGTCGGGTTGCCCATCGGAGGAATCGTGGGATCGCCGTAGAGGTCGTCCCAGAGCACGACGCGGCGCAAGAGCGTCGAGAGGGGTGGAAGGAGCGCGCCCTTGTGGCGTTCGGGCACATACGGTCGGAAGAATGGGTTGAGAAAGTCGCTTTGGTGCGTCATCATGTAGCTCCAGAGCGACGGCGTCCGGCCTGCCACGTTGAGCTGGTGGCGCTCGCGCTCGCAGTTGGCGAGAAACGTGCCAAAGCGCCCGGAGATCGTCGCCTCAAAGATGCATCGGAGCGCGCGATGGTTGAACTCAAAGTGCGTCGGGTACTGTCGACCGAGCTGCCACACGCAGTCGAGAAACTGGAGAAACACGGGCGAGTTCTCGTCGTCTACATGGGTTCTCAGGCGTTTGAATGGCATGGGCGACGTACTCTCGGCCTTGCCAGCGCTAATACGGTCCTCAAACTTGTGCCCGGCCTTGATCCACTCCTACGAGACACGTCGCCACGTCGCGTTTATAAGCAAAAAGCAAACCTTTTCAATGAGCTGCATAAAGCCCTCGAGCGTCCGATAGCGCGGGTCCAAGAGGAGCTGTGCGAGCGCACACACCTACTCGAGACGCATGCAACCTCTCGCTCGTGGGTAAAAGGCGTGGACCTGGGCGGTGCGGTCCCAGCCGTCGCTGCAGTGCACGACGACCGTCTGCGCCGTGCAATGAATCGCCTGCGCCGTCTGCACGGCGGTCGAGAGCACGCGGCGAATGTGGAAGAGCCACTTGGTCTCCTACCGAAAATGAGAAAACTATCAACGTATCAATCACAGACCTCGACGCGCGCGTGCCACGTCATGTCGAGGTCGGGGTGGAGCGACTGAAGGAGCCCGCGCACGTTCTCGAGACTCTCGCGCATCGCGTGGATGTTGGCAATGTCCATGAACGTCACGGTCGCGTGGCGAATGCTTGCACTTTCCGTGCCGCCGCCCTTGAGCTACACGCAGCCCTCTGTCTCAGCGCCAACGCGATCGATCACATATCCAAGGTGCGTACGTTGTTGGCCCGCGCGTTGAGTTCGGGGCGGCAGTCGACGATCCAAACGAGCTGGTTCACGTGGTTGCTCTGCGCGATGAGCAGCAGCATGTGCTCGTCGTCGCTGCTCTGGGCGTTGAAGATACCGCGCTTGGGCTGCGCGCAGCGCCAGAGACTCGCCGTGTTACTCGCGTGCGCCCAGCACAGCAGCGGCATGCGGCCTTTGGACCGAAACTCGGCCACTGACGCCACCTGCGCGTCCGTCATGCGCGACGGCACGGCAAACAACGCTGGGTACGTTGGGCAGAGCGTGAAATTGCGGTTCAGCTCCGTGAGCCGGAACGGACCGTGTCCGAGCTGCACACCCATGGCGGCGAAGTCATCGCGGATGTCGTACAGCGCGTGGCCTAAACCACGGCATAGCTCATAGCCGCTGTAGGTCGCGAAGGAAAAACGAAATACCGTTGAGGTCGCTCGAGACCATGTTGCCGCGGGCAAAGGCAAAGAGGCTCGCGGCAGAGATGCCAAAGCAGTGCCGGTTGAGCGTGAGCATGAGGTCCTGGACGTTGCCGCGGAGGCACCACGTCCGCAGGTTCCGAAACTGGACGAGGAGCTGGGTCGGCGCCGCATTGCGGTTGTCGTACTGGCCATTTCTCTGCGGGTATAGCAGCTTGGCAACAGCGGCCGTGGGCATGCCTTCGTTCATGGCCACCATCAGCATCGGGTGGGCCGTGCTCGACATAGTCTGCGTCGGCTCAAAGCGCAGGCGGTAGTTGGTCAGAACGAGCGTCCCCGAGACACCCGAGGTCTTGCTGTAGCTCGGATACACTTCAAAGACGCAAGCATGGGAAGCCAGCTTGAGCTCGCCGGGAAGCGCCACCGAGAGCGACGCATCGAGCAGCGGTGCGGCGCGCATCGTCGTGGATGGCTCGCTGGCCTTCACCGTCGCTACCGACGGCGGTGGTGAGGCTGGCTTCTTGGGCGCCAAAGCGAGTAGGCGGGCGAGGCGTTCGTGGTGCGCGCACATGCTGGCGCCAGGGCCCGCGACGGGCGACGTGCATCGCTCGCCGTTGCGCTGGACGGACGTACACGTCATGCGATCTCTTTGTGCCAGCTGCTCATTTTTGTGTGTTTATTTTATTTCAATGCGTTTTGAGTTTGGAAGCGTTTGAGTTTTTGTTCTTTGAGTTTGGCAGAGGTCAGACTAAATCCAGCCAAGGGGCAGGCGGGACAGGTCGACATGCCCGCGCTCGTGCTCTTTGGCCGGCGCAGCCGCATCGGCAGCGACGACTTCTTCTGCCCGGCGCTGCTGCAGCTCATCTTCCAGATCCCGTTCGTGCTCACGGCGGTGCTCTTCGTCTCGTCGTACCGGCGCTGCTCGACCATGCAGCTGCACAACCTCTCGGGCTTTCCATTTTGGTTTGTGCTGCTCGCGATCCCGATCCACGGCTTTATGATGTTCATGAACATCCTTGAGCTCCACGTTGCCTCGCAGGGCACAATCATCCGGCACGAGAGCCGCGTGCTGATGAAGCCGCTCATCATGGTCCACTTTGTGTGGGCGGTGGTCATGGCTGTCTACGGCACGGTGGGCCTCGTCTTCCATTACCGCGGCGAGCTCTGTTGGCCCGACAGCAACTTTGTGCTCGTACGCCACCCACCTTTCTCGCTACGACGTCGAACTAAGGTCGCTCCTAGGTCATTGCGCTCGGGCTGCTCGTCAACGTCCTTGGCATGCAGATATTCGCATGCTGCATCATTGGCGGCACGCCCGTGCACCGCCGCCGCCGGCTCTCGAGCGGCAACCTGCGCCGCGACCTCTCGCGCAACGAAGAGCTCGACTTGCTCCATGGTACGCTTGCGCCTCTTGAAGGACGGCGGACGAGCACGTAGTTCGGTGTAGGCATTGACGACCCGAATTTGCCCAACAGCGACTTGTACATTCCTCACCAGGAAAAGTGGGAGCAGCGCTGCCACCAGTGCTGCGGCTGCATCCAGTGCTTTACGTGCGGCCTCTTTGGCGGCGGCGGCACGCGCACGGACGCCATGTCGGTGGTCGCGTCGGTCTTTGCTCGCTTCTTCTACGGCAGCCCCGACTTGGTCTTCTCCGATATCATTGCCGGCTTTATCCTCCTCGGTGCCGTCCAGTACCACGAGACCAACACAGCGACCGAGCATCTGACGATGCGCGAGCTGCGCGCGTCGCGCCACCTCCTCGCGTCCGCGAGCTCGACCATCGACTTTGATCTCGTGTCGATGGAAGAGGCCGTCCGGCCGCTCGACCAAACCAACGAGGCGCTGGACGCGGCGGTGATCGAGCTGGCCCATTACTCCAAGTACGCGATCGGCATCTACGGCTGGATGCTCTACGTGTGGTCGCACCCGTGGCGCGGCTGCCCACAGCTGCTGTTTTCGTGCGTCAAGCGCCATCGTTCGTACGTCCACGGCGACAACTGGCTCCATTTGCACCAAGCCGCCCTGCAGCTCGAGACGTCGGCGGCGGCCGCCGACATTGTGTACGCCGACTTTTCCAACTCCGTGTGCAAGCCGGCCTACTGCGTCATGCTCGACCACGAGAAGCAGTCGGTGGTCGTCGCGATCCGGGGCACGCTCTCATTGGAAGACTGCCTCACCGACGCGATTGCCTACGGCCATTCGATGGACGACGTCGCCGCCAAGTACAACTGCGCCGGTCGCGGCGCCTTCGCCCACCAAGTAATCGTATCTTGATTGTTTTTTGTGGGATTGACGTTTCTTGGGATGTGTAGGGCATGCTGCAGTGCGCCGAACATATCATGGACGAACTCGCGCGCTTGCGAGTGCTCGACATGCTTCTCAACCCGGACGCAGCGCCGGTGCCCGAGCCGTTGGCGGTCAACGAGTGCTACCCGGGCACGTACGCAAGCTATAGCCTCATCGTGACGGGCCACTCGCTCGGCGCAGCGACCGCCGCGCTTCTGTCCATCTTTCTCAAGCCAAAGTACCCGCGCGTGCGCTGCCTCGCGTTCAGCCCGCCGGGCTGCCTCATGTCGCCGAGCTTGGCGCAGGCGTCGGCGACGTTCATCACATCGGTCGTCCTCGGCAAGGACATCATTGCGCGCGCGAGCTTGCTCTCGATGCAGGACCTCCGCGACGAAGTCCTCGAGCTCATTGGGCGCAGCAAAGTGAGCAAGGCTGCCATCATGCGGCAAGCGCTCTCGTGGAAGAACCCGCGGGACCTCCTCCACGCAGCCGATGACGTTGCGACATCCTCGTTCACGACGCAGCTCACCAACTACAAGTCGATGCTGCAGCAAATCCAGGACCACGAACCCATCCACGAGGTACTCTTCTTGACTCTGTGTTTGGGTCTTACAGCGCGTCTAGATGTGGCTGCCGGGTCGTGTCGTCCATCTCAAGCGCCAAGTCCGCTCGCAGAAACGCGGCTTTTGCATGTGTTGCCGCCCAGGCACGGGCATCTGCTGCACGGACCGCACCGATTACGACTGCGCGTGGTCGGATGCGACCAAGTTTCTCAAGATCTACGTGAGCCGCACGATGCTCGACGACCACTTCCCCGACAAAGTCCACGCCGTGCTGCAGGACCTCGCCAAGACCAAGAAGCAGACGTAAATGCAAATCGTGGAGGTGTTTTATAGCTTTGTTAAATAAGAGAAATCCCATGCACACTACTTCATGCGCGGCAAGGACTGCGTGCGGGGCGGGCCATGCGCCACCGCGTGCGGATCAAGCGCGACCGAGTGCGAGTTGGTCACGACGACAGAGTTGGCCGGGCTCTCGGGTACGGCCGAGCAGCCGCGGAGGTCCACGACGATAACAGTCACATTGTCTTCCGTCCCGTGGCTGATGGCGTGCTTGCAGAGCGTCGCGGCGGCGGCGTCGGCCGTCGCACACTTGGCCGCGAGCTTGGCTGCCTTGGTGTTCGAGACCACGTCCCAGAGCCCGTCGCAGGCGAGGATCAAGTACTTGTCGGCGGCCGTGAGCACGTGAACGGTCACGTCGGCGTCGGCCGAAATGATCGGCTTGAGGGATGCATCGCCGATCGCACGCGACATGCTGAGGATGCCGTTGACGCGGGGCACGTCGACGACGCGGTTGAACGGCCACATGCTCAGTGCAAACTCGGGCGCCCGCTGGCCGTAGACAAGACCCGTGACTTCGCCGCCGGCAGCTTCGATGCGCTGGCGCTCGGCAGGCACCTCTGGCTTGTGGTCTACGCAGTACCGTCGGTGTGTGATGAGGGTGCATGTGTCTTGGTACCTTGAGAGAGCGGCAGAGCGTGGATTTTGCCGTTCGGGAATTCCTTGACGAGGACGGCGCGCGAGTCGCCAACGTTGCCGACGTATACGACGCCGTTGCGGACAATCGCGACCAAGCACGTCGAGCCGTCTTCGATGCCGGCCACCGTGCGCTGGCGCACGGCGCCGTGTCCGAGCGAGAGGGTCTTGCAGTGGTTCGAGAGCGAGCAAAAGTCGGCGTCTACCTCGAAGATTCTAGCACCCACCAAGGAGGACAAAAGTACAGTGTACCGAGCTCGTGGATCCCCTTCTTGATGGCGTCTTCGATCGTGCATTTCGCCGCAAACGGGCCGATCGCCTCGGCGCCTTCCATGTGGCTCAGAATCTTGGGGAAGATGTACTCGGCGGTGTAGCGCGACGCGCGCTCGCCGCCATGGCCGTCAAAAATGCCATAGCAACCCAGTTCTTGGACCTGCCCCGTGCCGCTAAAGCCATTGAGCGTGAGCCGGCCCTTGTAGCCGCCAATGTAGTACGCGTCCTACCGAGGCCATGAGCTCTGCCTCGCCTCAATTGCCTCACCTCTTGGGTTCGCTTCGGGCCCTTGTCGGTCGCGACGCCGGCGGCGAGCTCCGTCGTCATGCTGCGGCTGCTGCAATTGCCAAATGGTCCAAGGTACGTTTTTTTACCGGATCGGCTGGCAGCCTATTTTTATTGCCGAACAGTGCTTTTTAATTCAAGGGTGGACGATTTTAAAACAAAACGAAGGGGCACGTGCGTAGATATGCAGGCACAAGCACACGCGACGCATTGTATTACACGCTGTCCATTGCATTTAAATACGTGCATTTTTATAACGGTGCCTCTCAATTCTCGAAACAGCAAGATACACCGCGGAACATCCGGATGATAAATCGACGCGATGGGATTGGCTATTTATCCGTATTCCCAGGATGTATTATCCGAACAGTGACCGGACAAGTGTAGGCCGGAACAAAAAGCATGGACGACGACCGCGACGTCGTCCAGTCCGGCGCGATCTTCCGCATGAAGCAAGCGGACCTCCGCTGGCGGAGCCCGATGCCCATGAGCATGCTCAAGAAGAGCTCGATAGGCGCGGACCGCGAGCTGCCTCCGGCGACGCCCACCAAGGCCCAGGCGAGCGCCGGCAGCTCGACACCGCGGAGCGCGTTCGACTCGCTGTGCCTGCGCAGCCCGCTGCCCAAGGTACTGCTGCAGAAGCTACAGGGCTCAGCGCAGAAGGCCGGTGCGACCAAGTCGCCGTTTGCATCCACGATAAAGACACCACCAACGCAGAAGAAGATTAAGCTCGTCTTCAAGCCCGCGTCGGCGATGAAGCTGACGCCAAGCGAAGCCAAGCCAGTGGCGCACTCAAGCACGATGGTCGATCCAAAGTACGAGACACCGACCAAGGCGATGCGGCCATCGGTGCAGACTTCGGTCGAGACAAAGACGCTGATAAAGGACAGTACACCGCTCGGCCTCTCGGACCAATTGGCGCTTCTGCAGCGCCAGAAGCTACAGAAGAATGGCACGACGTCGACCGTCAAGCCTGTCGCAGCTGCAGCGTCCATGCCATCGACAACGATCGAGTTCTTCACCACGCCCGAGAAGACCAAGACGCGCGATGCAACGCCAAGCCCGGCACAAGGTACGTACATCTCATCTCTCATCGCTTGGCGCTCAACCAAGGACTGTAGCTGCGGCCTCGCATGCGGTTGCCGAAGCGATGGCGGCGGTGCCAATGACGCCTGTGCCAATGACGCCGGCAAAGCCAGACGAAGGACCGACCAACTCATTCTTGTCGCCGCCGACGGCGCAGGTCCATACACCAGTGACAGCACGGAAACGAACGCATCGGTCGCCAAATCCGAGCGACGTCGCACCGCGGTCCGCAAAGCGCACGCTGCTCGTGTCGCCAGCGAGCGAAGCGAGAACGTTGCCAGCGCCACTCACTCTCAAGGCCGCGACGCCAATGAAGCCCAAGACGCCACCAGCAAAGGCGAAGGCGCCAATGACCAAGCCGCCGCGGACCCGGCCAAGCCCAAGACGCCCAAGCCAAAGACGCCCAAGCCAAAGACACTGAAGATAGCACCGCGTCTACCAACACCGGTTCGCATAGCGCATCCCTTGACACCTCTCGAGGCGATCCAAGAACCAACGCTTCTGCTTCCACGGCCCAAGACCCCGAAAAAAGGGACGAAATCGAGTGCACCCACGCCGCCTGCTTCGACACCGACCGACAAGAGTGCAACGGCGCTCGGTCCGTCATTGCCTCTGTCGCGCCAGCCGACGCCGGTTAAGTCGACGACCAAAGGTACAACCCTGCTCTGTTAAAGGGTGCGTTATCGAGATGTCTAGGACCGACGCCGCGCCGTATGAGCTCGGTTGTTGAGCCGGAGCAACCGCCGGTGGAGCGTGACGACGAAGACGCCGCTTTCGAGTTTGGCGGCGGCAGTGCTGCGTCGTCCGAGGTCGAGGCGCTGCCGACACCACCGAAGAAGCCTGCGCCGATTACAGTGGCCACACCTTCTGTGGCCAAGGCGACGCCGACAAGCTCGCGCAAAGTAGGTGCATTGTGTACGCCTTTCATTTCGTATACCAGCGTCGTAGCGACTCAAACGACCCGACGCGCGGGCTGGGGTCGCTGCCGCGGAGGCGAGCGACGACGATTTGCCCATGTTGGCCACCTCGAGCCCGGAGCGTACTGCGGAGGTACCGTGTGCAGTGATGGCATCAGGGTCGCGAACTAGGAGAGTGCTGAAGAGGTCGTCGAGCATTTCCAGATCAAAGACAGACGTGTCGAGCCGTTGGCCGTTGGTCAAGCACTTTACCTTCCAAAGCGGTATGCGTCTTGACTTGGCGCGTACTTGGAAGAACGCTGTGTAGCTTCAAGTGGTGACGAGAACGATGACGAGGATGATGACGAGGACAAGGACGACGACGACGGCGCGTCACGCCGCATCAGCGACGAGTTTGCCAAGGAAATGCGCGGTCTCAACGAGAGCGACCTCGTGGTCGACGACAAGACTGGTACCCTTGTCATGATCGCCGTGGCTTGAAAAGTGTCTAGTCGAGCTGCACAAGTGGAGCGTCGTGTGGCCGCCCCGCATGAAGAGCGCGACCAATATCATTCTCGTAGCTCAATGCATCCATGGAACCAGTTGTCATGCGGCCTGTAGACCGTGCGCGGGTGCAACGGCAGCAAGGACGGGCCCGTGACCAGTGTCGTGTACAAGTCGTACCAGTCGCCGCGGCACTTTTTGTCGACGGCCGACGACGAAGTGCATTTGGTCGGCACCATGGCCACCAAGTCGGTGCCGATCCCGTCCGTTCGCGCGTTCTTCAAAGCGGGCATCCCGCGCATGTGGCGCGCCAAAGTGCCAAGTCTTCTCGTCGCCTCGTACGTTATCGCATCTTCCGATGGCACGTGGAAGAAATAGGATGTCTTGTAGGGACAAGGGCGAGGGCAAGAAGCGCGTCATTAGCTCCCTCGGTGCCTTTCTGGACGCGCCACCAGAGAGCGACGCGTCGTCCGAGGACGAAGAGAGCAGCAGCAGCAGCGAAGACGTTGAGAAAAGTGACCTGGACGAGGACAATGAGCAAGCAAGCAGCGCGAGCCTGGAAAGCGAAAGCTCCGAGAGGTAGCGACGAGTATGTATGTACCAGCATGTGAACGTTGTGGTGTATAGGTCGAGTCCTCAACGTCGACGCGCGGCCCGTGTCTCGGCGGTTCGCAAACAAACAGCAGTCGTCCCCAAGGTTCAACACCCACGAGCTCTGGAGACTAAGCAACCAATAGAAACGAGGACGTCCACGCAAAGACGCCGCACCCGCCGCGGCCGTGGCTCCTGTACGTCACCCTTCAAAGGACAACCGCGTAGCGTTCTCTTGTAGCGCGCCACGTCCACGCAAAGACGCCGCACCCGCCGCGGCCGTGGCTCCTGTACGTCACCCTTCAAAGGACAACCGCGTAGCGTTCTCTTGTAGCGCGCCAAGGCGAAGCGGCCGCTGCCGAAAACAAAGTGCGTTGCAGTACCAGCTGTGTCTTTTGTGTCTCATGGTAGATGCACAGGCCAGCAGCAGCACCCAAAGTCAAGGTGGAGAAGACCGACAGCGATGCATGGACACCAGTGCAAGTCGCACAGCTCAAGCAAGCCATCCAAATGCTACCGGCGAGCACGCCCGAGTACTGGGCCAAGGTCCGTGCTCTAGTTTCCACTTGGACCGACCACGTGGTAGATTGCTCGCGCAGTCGAGGGCAAGACGGGCGACGAGTGTCAACGCAAGCAGTTTGAAGCGCTGGGGTCGGCCAAGAAGGCGAAAGCACCCGCTGCGACCGGGCGGCTCCAAGAAAAGCTCTCCCGCGCCGGCACGATCAAGCGCAAGATCCAAGTGCGTCAGTTTGTCCACGATGTACGACGACCACCTGGACCTCTTTTTTGTTGACACGTGCGATGTAGTTGGAGCAAAAGACAGCCGACGACGTGTTCACGCCGCGCAAGCACATGCCGGCGACGGACCTCGACGCGCTGTCGTCGCCGCAGTCCAACAAGAAGCTCAAGCGCACGTACGCGTCGAACGACGGCAGTAGTAATGGCGACGACGACGACGACACGCTCTTCTCTCCGATTACGTTTGGAAAGCGCAACGAAGTCGACTCGTACATCAACCAGCTGCACAAGCAAACGCGAAAGCCTCTCACACGAACGGTGGCGCCAAAGCGACCGAGCGACGACGGCCGGGTCCGCAATTGTTTCAATGTATCAAGGCAGGGTTATATATGTTTCTGCGTAGACGTCGATGGCGATGGAGGCCAAGGTCGGCGCCCACTCGCTCGTGGGCACGATGACGCCGAACGGCACGACGCGCCTCCGCCTCTCGCGCGACAGTGATTTCAGCGACTCGGTGGATATTTCGTACGACCTCGACCATGCCGACGACTCGTCCGACGACGACGACGACGTGGAAGCGAGCGACTTTGCCGAGGACAACTAATCATTTGTCACATACAGTTGTCGCGTTGTTAACTCGATTCGACTTGAGAGTGAAACCACATTGATCGGAGGGCTCGTGTATATTTAGGCCATGGCGACCGACGTGGTGTGGCGCGGCCGGCAGCTTTTGCCGATCCTGGCGCCGACGCACGAGCTTCTCGCGACAAGCGACCATGACGTGGCGGTCCGAGAGGTCGCGACGCCGTCGTACCGCCTCGTCTTCTCGGTCCAAGGCAGCGTTGACGGAAGCGCCGTGGTGCGATCGCTCTCGACGGCCGAGATCGCAGCCGCCGTTCAACGGTACCGGGCGCATCCGCACGAAGCGAATTCGGCCGCCGACCGCGCGATGCAGCGCTGGATCACAAAGCACAAGACGCCGCCGCGCGACGACCTGATTCGATGGTTGCTGGCGCGCATGGTCCTTCTCATGAGCGAGCCGCCGACACTCGTTCTGCTCAGCGAAGTTGGGCTTTCCAAGGCCCACGTCACGCGCAAGCAACCGCTGCCGTTGACGCCCCGCACGATCGTGAGTCCGTTTGCGGATGGCGACGACGACGAGCCGCTGCCGCCCTTCTCGCCCAAGAGCGGCGCGGCACCCGAAGACGCGAGCGACGACGACGACGAGGCGCCGCCACCCTTTGCGTAGACTGCTCGTCCTGCGCATGTGCTAACAGGATATTCCTTGTAGAGAGAAAGTGGCACCCTTCGAACCTGCCGCGGTGCGGTCGCAACGCAGTACCGTCGTCGCGTCGTCGCGCTGGGCAGACGACGCGTGGCGACTTGCGCTCGAGCTGCGCAAGTCGAAAGCCGACGTCGAGAAGGCCAAGGAGTTGCGTCGGCGCCAAGAGGTCGTCGCCACCGCGCGCAAGCAGTCGCTCTTGGCGTCGGCGTCGCGGCTCCGGACGTCGGCCAAGACGGACAAGCGCGACAAGCGGCTCGTCAAGGACGCGACGCACAAGGCGATCGAACACCACGAGGCGCGTTCATATCGCTTCCACGAGGTCGTCCTCATCCTTGGTTGTAGATGGCCGCGTACATTGAAAAGCAAACGCGGCGCGAGTACATCCAGTACATGCGCGAGCACGAGCGCACGACGCGGCTGCTTCAAATCGGTCAGCGCCGCCACGGACAAAAAGGTAGTCCGATCTTTCAAAGTGTCAATGTGTCAATCTGTCCATGGACCACGCAGGACCGCACTTGGGCCCGGGGCCGCTTCCGACCGACGTGTACGCAACGGCACGTGACGACGACGACGACGAGACCGAGCCGTTTGTGTACGACATCCATGGCCGCCGCCACGCAGTGACGAGCGCGGACGAGGTCCGCGCCAAGAGTGTCTTTGACGCCGCGATGCGAAAAGTGCAGCGGATCGCCGCCAAAGCGGGGCGCCACCTCGTTGCGCTCTTCCGCCAGCACGACGTGGATCGCAGCGGCACGCTCAACTTGACCGAGTTTGCCGCCGCGCTCCAGAGTCTGCACGTGCAGCTGAGCGCCGATCAACTGCACGCGCTCTTCTCGTTTTTTGACGCAAACGACTCGGACGGCATCGACTATGGCGAGGTACGACGAATGTGTTTGGAGAAGAGAGCGTCTTCGGATGGGTGACGTAGCTGCTCTGGAGCTTCTTCAACCGCCGAGCGTTCCTGAAGAAGTGGCAAATGGCGACTGAGAGCCTCTCGCCCGTGGAGCTCCACGCGCGCTTTTACGCTGCGGACCGGGCGCGCCGGGGCGCACTCTCGGCCCGGGACTTTTTCCTCGCGATGCAGCAGCTAGGGTTTCGCTTCTCGGACCTTGACGAGACGCTGCTGCTGCACAAATTTGACGCCAACGGCGACGGCTTCATCGACTTTGACGAGTTTCAGCGCGCGTTCCACGCCAACCATGCACCCGCCGCAAACCCAGCACGAGCTCCAACGCCGCAAGGTAGCATGACGTCCCTCGAGTCGGAGCTGCAGGCGCTCGAGGCGCTCCAATCCAAGCTGCAACATCTCCTGCAGCAAGTCTAACCAAGCATGGTCCAAAAGTATCAAGTTCTCCACCTACTACGATACAAAACGGCCTTCATGGCGGCACGGGCACGGGCTGGAGGGTGTTCAAAGGCCAGCGCGGCGCGTACTTGGTCGAGGCTGCGTCGTCGCGAACGCCGCGAACGTAGCGCTCCATGCCCGCCCACGCAATCATGACACCGTTGTCCGTGCAGTAGCTAGGCAGCAAATCAACGGTTGAAACGTGCTTGCCTCACAACGTACCGCGGCGGCGGGTACACTGCGCGAAGACCTACGCCAGGGATTGGGTGTGCATCGAGTCTCGTAGAGGCAAGTGATCGCACCGGTGGCGCTCGCAAGCGTCTCCATCTCGCGTCGCAGCGTCGTGTTGGCAGCCACGCCGCCGCAAACCACCTAATAGCCGTGAAGCACGAGGCCGCCAGAAATCGCGGTACCAGGTGCTGCAGCGTTGGGTGCGACGCGGTGGTCATCTCGCATGCAAGCTTCGTTCGCGTCACAAGGTGTGCGATCGCCGTGCGCTACAGCATTTGCCACATAAGCAACATGGATGTTCGCTAGAGTGTTCTACTTGAAATGCGGCCGCGAGGTCGTGCTTGGTCGTTGGCGTCAGCGGTTGATGCTACCACATGTGTATGACGTTGCTGTTCACGCTGCTGCTACCTCGGCAATGAGCCGCATCATGGCGGTCTTCAAGCCCGCAAACGAAAGTCGCAGTCCTACGCCGAACGCCAACTCGAAATGCATGTCTCGAGGTACAAGGTACCTTGCGCTTCTTCTTCTTCATCGGCTCCGTGAGGCGAAAGACACGGTCGTTGCCGAGGCGCGCGGCCGCCTCGACGAGTGCGCCGCCATGGAGCTTGGCACGCTCGCTCGTGAGCTCGAGCATACGCGCGACCTTGTCAAAGGCCTCGCCGACCGAGTCGTCGACCGTGCTTCCTAGCACGTCGTAGCTGCCCACGTCCTGGCGACGATTCAGAGCCGAGGCCATAGGATGTAAATTGTACTTTGGCGAGAACCAACGAGCAGTGGCCGCCGGACACCAGGAGCACGAGAAAGGGAAAGTGAACGTCGTCCTACGCATCGACCATGGTGCACAACATCCGTTCTGCGCAAGACGCACGTTCAGAAGCCGGGGCACGAGCGCGTGCGCCTACACGGCTCCATAAGCGACATCAGCGAAGAAGCCGCACCTCCAAGTGGTTGATGGCCAGAAAATCTAAGTTGTGGCGGGCGACGAGGTCCTTGGCCGCCGAGAGACCGACGTTGAGGCACGGTGCGAGGCCCGGGCCAGACGTCACTGCCACTGCGTCCAAGGCGCCAAAGCCATCAAGGCCGCTAGATGCCAAGGATATATAGTGCATGGGTGTTGCTGATGCACGCACGCACCTTTGCTCGATGGCGGCCTGTAGCACGAGTGGGAGGTTCTCTTCATGCGATCGCGCGGCGAGAGCAGGTACAATACCTGCAGATGTCGATGAGCAAGCTACAGTAATACCGGCGAGTGTGCCTGCCTTTCCACTTTTCCAGCAGCGCCCATTGCGACGAGACGACCTCGCTGAGGATCGCGCCGTTCGAGTCGACGATGGCGACGGCCGTGTCGTCACAACTGCAGACAAGTTGTCCATTTATTGCTGAGTCACGATGACATACCTCGTCTCGATGCCAAGCACGTACTTGGTGCGCGCCGCGGTCGCAAACGGGCGCGCGGCCAGCAATCGGGTGGTTCGTTTCAACATCTCCGACTCTGCCATCACCATCATTCTTTCCATGCCTTGTGCACAGGTCCTTCCATACTTTGTATTTATACTAAAGAGCAATATCTTATCTAACTCGAGCAGTATCGAAACAGACGGTTTTGTGTATCAAGTGTGGGAGGGAACAATCTTTCCACACACATTCTGGAAAGTTCGACCTGCCAGATTGCCGCTCGTGCCACAACGATGAGCATATATCAACGTGCGGCGTCCTCATCAATGGGACCTCGCGAGAGCCATGGACCTTGGTCCGCGCTGGTAGCAGGTGCGCCTATAGCGCGCGGTGTCGTGACGTGGCAGCAAGTCTGTTTTACGAGCTAGCCACGCTCATTGGCTCGTGCGAGGTTGGAGTTTGGCAATCCGTAGGACAATCCGTGCCTCGGCTGGGACACGCCGTTGCGGATCTTCATTCTGCAATTATTGCCCATGACGTCCCCCGACGCGGAAGCCATTCCGAGCGTCCTGCGCGACGTGTATCTTTTTCCTCTCCTCGCATCGTTCCAGGACGGTGTCGACCTGCGCGTCCGAGCAGCGTTCGCGTCGTGGCGGCTCGTGCAGCGGCGCGTGCTCGATCTGTGGTGCCCGACGTTTGGCTGGCTCGCGCCAAGCGAGGGCGCCGCTGCGCCGCTTCGCATAAAGCAGAACGCCCACTGCTCCATTGTCCACTGCGATCCGACGGGCAAGGTTGAGGCCGTCCGTTCGGCCGTCTATGACATGCTGTGGCAGCCCAGCTACGTCTTGTATGCGGCGATTGCGTCTGGCGATATCGACCTCGTGCAACGTCTCGGCCGCTGCCGCCCGGCACTCTTCTCGCAACGAGCGATCGACGTCGCCGAGCACTATGCGCAGCGAGATATTGCCGCGCTCGTAGCGCGCCACGTCAAAATAATGGATCCGTAATCGAAACCGATGACTGTTTATTTCCTCTTGCACGCAGTCGTCGCATGAAGCGGCCGCGCCCGGACGCAAACATGGCCGAGGTTGGGCACCCCGAAGTCGAGTACGCGCTGCAGCTGCACGCATCGCACCTTCGTAGAACGGAGCTGCTTCCAACTCGAACGTCTCACGCCTGCTCGTAGGCGCCACCAAGTCCAAGCGACCGCCGGCCAAGAGTATGTACATGTTGTGCGAGACTGCGTGACACCAGGGTGTAGAGGCCCCGCCAGGTCAAGGAGCATCATCTGCGCGTGGCCAACGACAGCGTCCACGTCTCGTTTCCCAAGGCGCCGCGCTTCCGAGGTCGGCTTCCGGACGCAGGCAGCGCGAAGCGGCAACGCAGCCAGATTCACGCTGGCATCTACGTACTCCGCAACACGCGCACGGGCCACGCCTTCTTCGGTGCGTCCTTTCTTGGATGTTGCAAGATGTGAACGGGTGTAGGCTCGACGTGGGATCTGGAGAATGCCAAGAGCCAAAACTACCAAGACCTTCTCGACGGCAAGCACGTCAATAGAGCCATGACTCGCTCGATGCGCGCCTACGGCGACCGCGACATTGCCTTTCAGATCCTCCAGGTACGGCGACGCCCGCTGCACGTACGAGTGCCTCGATGATTGCTGTAGACCATCCCCACGGGCAAAGAGATCCAGTTCCGAGAGCTCGAAGAGGCGCTGGCCCAGCGTCTGCAGTTTTACGTGGCGCGGGCACAGCGCACGCACGCGCGGCGCCTCTTCCGACGGTGGCAGCATGGGTACTTGCGCTACGCGCTGCCTCTCTGGTGTGCCTTTGTGACCGCGCGCAGATCGATCGAGGCGATGGCCGCGGCGCTCGAGATTCAGGTAGTTGGCGTCAGCATCGCGCGTTGGCGTCGAGTCCGCGTGTAGCGAGCGTGGCACGGTCGGCGTGGGCGACGAGCGGCCAACGCGCGTCGCCGATTCGTCGCGGCTCGGCGGTTGCAAGGCGTTGCGCGCGTCTTCCTCTCGCGTCGAGCGCTTCTGCAACTGCGTCATGACCGCGCATCACGGACCCTCCAGCACGCGGCCCGAGGCTTTGTCCACTACAGTAGATTCCAGCGCTATCGGCGGTCCAAGACAGCGGCCGTGCTGCTTCAGCGCGTTTGGCGCGGCCACGCGGGGCGCCGGAGAGCGCAAGCGATGCGCTTGCACCGGAAGCGGACTGCCGCCGCCCACGTTTTGCAGCGAAGTCTTCGGCGTTTGGCGGCCTCGTGCCGCTGGGCCGCTCGCCGCCGGCATGAGCGCGAGACCATCGGTGCGCTCCAACTGCAGCGTCTGTGGCGTGGCGTCATTGGGCGTCGGCGCGCCGCCATCGACAGCGACAACCGGACGCAATTTCGCCGCTTGCATCGCGCGGCGGCTGCGATCCAGGCAGCGTACTTCGCCTACCACGTGAAAAAGTTTCAGTTTGTAGCAAAGTCCGTTTTGCAGCGCAAGCGCAGCGCGCTCCAGCTCTCGGTCTACTGGCGCAACTTTGTCGCGCGCAAGTTTGGCTGGGCGGCACTGCAAATCCATTTGGAGCACAAGACGGCGACACACCTCCAACGCTGGCTTCTACGTGCGTCGAACCAACGGCGCATTCGCCGCGGCTGTCTGCAGTGCAAGCGGACGCGCCGCGCGATTGTCTTGCAGCGCTACACACGCGGGTACCTCGCTCGCCACGTGCTCGTACCCGCTGCCAAGCACCGCGCGGCGCTGAGACTCGCCGCCAATAACATCGGGCGGTGGTATCGCCGTCTCAAGTGGGCGCGACTCGTCTCCTTTGTCCTCCGCACGCGCGCTGCGACACGCATTCAAGCAACGTTCCGGGCGTTCTGCGTCTATCGGCGTTTCCAGGCGGGCAAGGTCGAGTGGCGCCAAGCCCGCGCCGCCGTCAAAATTCAATGTCAATTTCGCATCTACCGCGCCAAAATGCTCTTTCCGCCAACGCCTCGACGTGCTTCGCGCCGGCGCCTGCGACGAGTGCCGGAACGTGCTCGCTACGCTCTACTCGATTCCACTCGCCCTCGAGCTCTGCGAGAGTTGCTATGCCACAATCGCCGACGTCACGGGGCTTCTCGTGCGAGACGTCATACCCATCGAGGTCTATCGGCACCAGCGCAGAATGGCCACCAAAATTGCAGCCGCGTACAAGGGCTACGCGCTGCGCCTCTTGCGCCACACGCCAGTCTGCGATGTGTGCAGCACCCGCGCCGAAGCGCGCATCTGCCTCGAGTGCCCACGCACGGCGTGTCACTCGTGCATGGCGACGATCCACGCGCTGCCGTACAATGCAAATCACACTGGCTGGCGCTTTGCCGACCATACGCGGCGCACGGCCGCGGCCACGGCGCTCCAAGCACGGTATAGTCGCCGGTGGATCCAGGGTTGGGTTCATAGTAGGGCTAGGGTACGGTGCTTTCTGCAGCGAGCGACGCTTCAAGGACGCCGCGACGCCAAGCGCTGCGCGGCTGCTACCACGCTGCAAGGGTGGTGGCGCGCACGCTACTCGCGCCACCTCGCGCGGCTGCTGCATGCAGAAAAGGTCGCCCACGACGCCTTGTGCGCAGCCGCTGCGAGCACGATCCAGCGCGTCTACCGGGGCCTGCACGGGCGCCGCCACGCCGCCTGCCGACGCCAGCAAATCGCCGAGCAGCGCCGCTTTGATTGCGCCGTCGTCACCGTGCAAGCCCACATGCGCGGGGCCTTGGCGCGTCGCCGCGTCAACGCCGAAATGGCCCAGCGCCAAGCGGTGCAGCACCATTCTTTTCTATCCACTCTCACTTTCTGCTTCGTCTTCTAGGAACACCAAGCGACCGCGGCATTGGCGATTCAGTGTGCTTTTCGCCAGCACCTCGCCCGACGCCAGAGTTGCCACGTATGCTCCGTCAATTATGCTCCGATGGGTCTCAGTGGATGCGATAGCGGCGCCGCTTCCTGGCCGCGCGGCGGATCCAGTGCATGGCGCGCGTCTACTTGGCCAAAGGCGCGCTTCTCGCCTTGCAGCTCGAGTACGAGCGCCAAGTTCAATTGGCGATCGAGCAAGTCAAGCATCGAAGAAAGGTGCGCAACGTCACGCGTATCCAAGCCTTGTACCGCCAGCGCCGGGACTTTCGCCGCGCCGTCGCTGCGCGGCTCGCCAAAGCCCGCGACGCCCGGCGCCACTGGGAGCGTGTGTGCCAGTTTGTCGAAGCCCGCTGCGCACGCATGCTCCAGCGCACGTACCGACGTCGGTACGCACTTTTATGCCGCATGGCGACGCGGCTGCAGGGCCTCGTCCGACGTCACAACGCCCGGCGTGACGCAGCGATTCGGCACGCCAAGGTCTGCGCCGTGCGGCGTGAGACGGCGGCCGTCACGCTGCAGTGCTTTGGTCGGTGCATTATAGCGAGGCGGATAATCACTGCACTGCGCTTGGCAGCGGCACCGCTTGCACGCGACGCATGGACCGCCTGCGTGGATGCAAGCAGCGGGTACACGTACTACTACAACGTGGAGACGGCCGAGACGCGCTGGGACTGCCCGAATGAGATGAACAGCAACAACGACAGCGCGCCTGTGGAGAAGGTCAAGACGGACGACAAGGGCGGCGTCGATCCGGCGACCGGCGACTGGGTCGAGTGCTGGGACGAGACGTACAGCGCCTACTACTACGTCCACTCGGTGACCGGCGAGACGTCGTGGGAAGCGCCGACGACGTCCCAATCGGCGTACGACTGGTACCATGACGAGAACGGACACGTTGTCTACTACACACCCGCCGCCGCCGACGACAACCAAGCGACTGCATAAGCTCGTGGTCTTAGCGTGGTTTAAATGCTGCGATTGCAGGCGCGTGCGCCGACACCACGGGATTAAAACAACATAACGTGGCTACCCCTATGCAGACAGAGAAAGTGAGACGAGGCCACGACAGGATTCAGTGCGACGCACGTGCGACGAGTAGCGCGCCGCTTGCTGCGCCTGCGCTTGAGCCGCCAACGACGACGCGTAGTTGCGCTGGTGCATCTGCGTTTGGCGCGCCGCGTCCGCGCGGGCTTGGGCCTGGGCCAGGTTCTGGCGCACTTCGTCGTCTTCGCGCTGGCGCTGTTCGAGCTGCGCCAGCGTCAACGTCGCACCAAACTTGGAGCCGCAGCTGGGGCAAAACTTGGCGTTTGGCTTGCACTGGAAGCCGCAGCTCGGGCACGCGCTCGGTGCCGCCGACATGGCCATCGGCACCGGCGCCGACGCCATCGCAGAGACCGGCGTCCCGCACTTGTTGCAAAACTTGGACGCGGGACCGAGCGGCGCATAGCAGCCGGTGCACGCCGTCGGTGCCATTGGAAGTGCGACAGGCGCCGGGATCGGCGTCGGGGCCGCGGTTGTGGCGGCCGTCTTGGTGCCGCACTTGGGGCAGAACTTGGCACCGGGCTTGAGCGAGAAGCTGCATGCCGCACAGGTCCCGCCGACCAGCGACGTGGCGCTAGCACCAAGGCTCAAAGCCGTTGCGAGCGGCGGCGGCGACACTTTGGCCGAGTCGACACGCTTGAAGCCGCACTTGGGGCAAAACTTCTGCGCTGGTTTGCAGGGCGCGTGGCACTTCTCACACGACGCCTCGGGTGTACTCACGTGCAAGTTGGACATGCTCGCTTGGAGCATGGACGTCTGCTTCTGAAGGCGCGCCGTCTCGGCTTCAAGCGCCTGGGCGCGCATCTGCTCGGCGCGGAGCCGGGCCTCGTCGGCCTTGCGTTCGGCCTCTTCACGCTGCAAGCGCGCCTCCATGGCCGCGCGCATGTTTTCTTCGCGGCGCTTTTCTTCTTCGCGCAACCGGCGCGACTCTTCGCGCTCAAGGAGACGCTGCTGGCGCAATCGCTCCTGCTCCTTGAGGGCTTCGGCCGCGGCCATGGCCTTTTGCCGCAGTGCTTCGGCGGCAGCCTTGGCGTGCATCGCCTTGGCCTCCGCGGCCTCGCGCGTCGCACGCGCCCGCTCGGCTTCGGCGATGTGCGTGGCACGCATGCGGTCCATCTCCATCTGACGCTGGGCTTCGAGCAGCCGCAGGTTCTCTTCTTCGCGACGGCGGTTCTGTTCTTCCAAGAGGCGCGTGGCGGCTGCGGCGTCCTCGCGCATCTACGGGTTGCATGGCCCCATGTGTCGTATGGACGGCAAAATACAATACCTTGAAGGCACGTTGGCGGGCTTCCTCGGCGTGGCGCTCGGCTTCGGCGCGCTTGGCGTGGGCCTCACGCTGCCGGGTTTCGATCTCCATGCGGTGGGCCGCTTCCTGGGACAGCCGACGCTCTTCCTCGGCACGGTGCGCCTCTTCGAGGCGAAAGCGCTCCGTCTCCTCAAAGAGCTTGGCGGCTTGGCCGCATCCTGCTTGGCAGCTTCCGCCATCTCACGGGCGGCGACAGCTTTCCGCTCGGCCTCGACACGCTGGCTGCTGATACCAGCGACCGGCACGGACGCGGCGCCAAAGAGACCGCTGTCTGTGCCACACGGTGCGCCGCACTCGGGGCAGAACTTGCCGCCTTCGTCGCGCGCGCCACACTCGCCGCAGAACCCCATGCTGCTGCTGCGTCGTCGACGGTGAGTACAAAAATGGCTCCAATCTTCGTCAACGGACCAGCCTGTCACATACTAAAGCCAAGTCAACAATGTGGGCCAGGGCGCCGACCAAAGACACGCCCATGCGCGCGCTGGTTCCCGTCCCTCATGCCTCCTCATGTCATGTTTCTCGGCACGGCCATCCATGCGTCATCATGCGGCATGCATCGCCACCGACTTGCACGCATCCAACATCGATCTGTCAAGTCCACCGAGCGCTGGCCGGTCGCGCGAGAGCGATGGGGCGGCCGCGTCCGGTCGATGGATTGATAGTTGGCACTTGATACTTGCGGCTACTTGGATGGGCAGCGGCCGCGGGAGAGCGCCGCGTAGTCGCGTGGCGTGCTTCGACCACACAGCCGGCGGTGTCCGGATGCGTCCGGATAATCACGGGACGGTGAGTTTTGGTATTTTTGGTTGGGAAGGGGGTCGACGATGAGCAGCGCGTGGTCCTTCGACGAGGTCAGCAGCCTCTCCAAGAAGCTCCATGCGACGCTCCAGCAAGAAGACTGGCGCAGCAACGTATCGACCGCCAAGGAGCTCCAAGGCATGCTCTCCAAGCTGCAGTCGTACCGCCCGGACCACGAGTCGCTGGCCAAGACCAAGCTCGGCGTCGCCGTCAACAAGCTGCGCAAGCATACCGACGTGTGCGTGAGCTCCTACGCGGGCATTTGACCAACCGCTGGAAAGAGGCCTTGGATGTCAAGCCATCGGCGCCGGCCAAGCCACGCGCGGCGAACGTACGTGAAGGCGATCGATACCAATTTGAGGCTCATATCGATGACGTAGGAGATTGCCGACTCGACCAAAGCATTGGACGCGGACCAGAAAGAGATGGCACGAAGCCGCCTCGCCAACTCGTATGCAAAAGAGAAGGCCAAGCGCGATGCACGGACGAGTATCTACCTCGACCAGCCCGTGACCAAGACGAAGCGCGGGAAGGCGGCGCCCAAGCCGACCTCGATCATCACACGCTTCACGACGCCCAGCGCGCACAGGCCAAGATCGTGCGGTCTATGGCGCCCACGAGCAGCAGCGCACGCTCGACATCATCGCACTCGAGCTCGCTGAGCCGGCCGACGATGGCGTCCCGCCCGTCGTCGGCGCCCACATCGCGCGCCC